GTGGGAAGGGAGCTGTTGCATTGTGGTAAACTGTGGTCAGTGTCATGAGACAAAGTGTATGTGAACTGCTGTATGTAAAGTGAATTTGCTCTGTAAACCTTCACCCAAATCACAATTAAAAAAAAAAATTTTTTTTTAAAGTGGATTCTTTAAATAAATGCTGCAATTTATTCTAATTTTCTCTTTCATCTTTGGAGAGGGTTCAGAGAGGTGCTGGCTATCTGCTGCTAAATTTTAATCAATAAATTAATTACTCTTTTAATCTATTTGGCTACTTTGCATGCATTGATCGTCTAACCCTTCTTTCTTTCATCAGAATTCTTATCTTCTGAGAATAAAATAACCAGATTCAATCTACTTATCTACTAAAGCACCAATCAATAGTCATAAATTATGTCTGCAGATTTCAAAGTTCTATAATCTAAATGTCATTTAAATTCACAGGACTAGGAAAAAACGGGGGAAAAAAAAGAAAAAAAAAAAAGCTAGCTGAGAACCTAAAGAAAACTAAGAATACCTATATATTTAGCCCATGGTTATGATCCGTAAAGAGCTATGGTGCACAGTGGTTAAAGCATTCAGCTGCAAATCAACAGCTTAGTGATTCAAACCCACCAGCCACTCTTTGGGAGAAAGATGAGGCAGTCTGCTTCCATAAAGATTTACAGCCGTGGAAACCATATGGGGAAGTTCTATTCCATCCCAACAGGATTGCTTTGAGTCAGAATTGACTCATTGATAGTGGATTTGGTGTTCGGTTTGGTTATGAATTGTGTCCCCAAAAAATATGTGTTATAAATCCTAATCCCTATACCTGTGTTATAATCCCACTTGGAAATGGGTTTTATTCTTTATGTTAAGAAGCCATATCAGTGTAGGGTGTGTTTTAAACTGATCACCTCTGAAATATAAAAAGAGCAGATGAGGCATAGACAAGCAAGCAGAGATGGGGGAAGACAGACGCCATACCCGTGAAGACTGCCAAAGAATCAAGGAACAAGGACTTTTCCCCAGATCCAACAGACAGAGAAAGCCTTCCCCTACAGCCAGTGCCCTAATTTGGACTTCTATTCTCCTAAAAAAAAACAAACAAATCCACTGCCATCGAGTCGGACTGACTCACAGCAAGCCCTCCTTGGGTTTCTCAGGCAGTATCACTACAGAAATAAACTGCCCAACCTTCCTTCCAAGGAGTGGCTGGTGGGTTTGAACAGCCAGCCTTCTAGTTAGCAATCAAATGCCTTAGGCACTATGCCACCAGGGCTCCTTCTATCCTCATAAATTGTGAGAAAAGAAATTTGTTTGTTAAAGTCACCTACTGTGGTATTTGTTGTGGCAGCACTGGATAACTAAGACAGCCACACAGCAACATATTTAAGATTTAAACAAAAACATTAAGGAATGCTTATAACTTTGCATCAAATATTACCTTGTACATAATTATATACAAAAATATACAAGCCAACATCAACTGA